TCCACCCACCCCAGTGTGAGCTCTCTCTCCCCACGCCCCTGCCCATCTCTCCCCCTCCCCACAGGACCAGGTATTACAGTGATGGGTGTACTCCTGATGACCCCAGACTACATGAGCCAGAAGCTTTTACCCATTTTGACTGTAGCTACAACTTCCAGCTCTGTACCTTTTCCCCTGAGTACCAGCTGCTTAGACAACAGACAGAATGAAAAAAAAAAAAAAAAGGAAAAGGTGTTGAACCACAGAACTGAATGCTGTCAGAGCCTACAAGGGCCTTAGAGAACTCGACTCCAAATGAAGAAGCTGTAAGGATGGGTTGGTGGTCAGCACAAAGAACCCGGCCAGGTCCTCCAGCGTAGCGCCAAGAGCTCCTGAGACCCAGCGTGGTCAACAATCTCGTAACTTAAGCTCGCGTCTGCCCCATTGAGGGTGCAGAACTGTCAGCCCAGGCTCACTCCACAGCAGGGACCATGCCCAGGAGTAGAAAGAACCAGAGTCTCATCCAGCCGTCAGGGCTCCCCTCCATAAGGACCGAACGACTTCAACACCCCTCCCTGACGCTCAAGCTCAGGCGCCATCTGCTGGTCAAGATCGGCACTGCGCTTGGACCCGCCGCCCCCAGGGCGGTCAGGAGACCAACGCTGGGACCAACCTCAAACCACTCCAGATCCAAGTCACTTTGCAGGCAGCAGCAATGACCCTACCTCCTAGAGCTCTGACTGCTGACTGCTCAACCTGTCGTGCAAGACGTAAGCCTAACATTCAAAACGAAAGGAAAAAAGTAAGCTTCTTTCTGGTAATGATAGAAACTCCTAAGTCACAGACTCAGAAAAGTGATTCCTACAGAGTTTCTGCCGAACAGAAGTTCTGCTACATAGGAGACAAAGCGCTGGCCAGAAGCTAAGATGATCTGAGGTCTAACCCCATCCCTCACATGCCCTTCCCTTAGCTACGTGGTCCCCCCAACTAGCAGCACCCCACCTCCCGAAAGAGGCCAGTCCCTATGCAGGGAATGGGATCCCTTCACCTGCCCTTGCCTCGACGCTGCGGGCTGTCCAGGGATGTGAACTGATCTGACACCAGATGTACATCACAGAGTCCAGAAGAGCTGCAGCCTCGCCCTCACGCCCCACGCTGGGGACGCCCCCTCAGGGCCAGCTCTGTCCTCCGGGGACAGGGATCAGTCTGAGCGCGCTAAGGGCTCTGCTCATGAGGCAGACACGGAGCCAGTCAGGGCAGGCTGGGGCACACCAGCCTCCAGCCCCTCTCTGATCACCCCTCTCCTCCTCTCGGTGTGAGATTTAGGGGCAGCCACAGACCTGGGGGGGCGGGGGAGGGCTGCTCCCCAGGAAGCATTAGGGGAGGGGCTGGGGGACGAGGGAAGGGCAGAGTGAGTGACTTTCCCCGCCCTGACTCCCCCACACCCGCCTACTCTGCTTCCCACGCGGCCCCCTCTTCCCTCCCTCCGCCCACAGGCTGAGAAAGCGTGTCACTGGGAACAAATGCCATCTCCCCGGGAGGGAGGGGGAGGAAGGGGTGAGGAAAGACTTTGACTGCGTGTCTGTGGGGGCTGGGGTAAGAACCTAGAGGTTTCTGAGCTTCCCAGTTGGGAGGGACACCCCCTCCGAGCCATGACCTTGACGTTAGTCTCCATCTCTCAGCAGGCTCGAGACCAGCTGTGGGGCAGGAGACATAGGCCGCCACTCTCAGGACGGCTTGGCTGGGGGGTTGCCTAGAGAAGGGGCCCTGAAGATGCAGGCAGCGTCTCCCAACCCCAGACACCCTGCAACCAGCTGGGTGGGTGGGCGCACCATGACTGCTGACACCCCGAGCTTCCCATCTCGCTCCACCCTGGCCTGGAGGAAAGCCACTGCCCTGCTCTCACCTCCCCCTCCAGCTACAAGGGTTAAGCTGCTGCCTTCTCCGCCTGCCTCCGCCCCCACTGGGCAGCCACGGTGCCCAGCAATGGTCCACTTCACACTGCTATTACAGTGACTTATTCAGTGTTCATTTGGGGGTGCACCTCAATGCTGGAGGAAGCAGGACGCCAACCGTCTTGGCAAGAAGCACATGAAGGCAAGCACATGGCAAGGCACGTGAAGGCTGAGCCACGCTACTGCCGTCCCGTCGGCCTGCGGCCCCTCCGTCCTCACCCCGCTCTTCCCAGCCTATGGCCTGCTCCTGACTCAGCCCTAAATCAAGTTTACTCTTCACGCGATCTTCCACCCCACCCCCCATCCCCTTGGAGGAGATGTTCCTCCATAGGAAGGGAGTCCACAGAGGTGTCTTTGCTCAGAACCATGATACCAAATAAATTCTCACGCTGCTGAGAAAGTTCTAGGACCCAGAGCAGATTTCCCAACCTGGGGATCTAGCAAAAGGGACTGAGAACCCCCAGGGAATTTGCCTTTGGAGGCCAGTGGGATTCAATTACAGAACTTACACAGGACTGGGGAGACAGACTCTTGGAGGGGACAAACAAAACCTTGTGGGTACCAGGACCCAGGAGAAAGGAGCCCTCCTGTGTGATCCAGTCCCCGCCCCCCTCCCCCAAAGAGTCAGATAATGAGGCCAGGCCAGGCCAGGCTGTCACTGAGGAGTGGGACATCTCCGGAGGGATGCCAGGCACGTGATGCCAGCGCTACATTAAGGGACCAACAGTCAGGGCCAGCTGCATGCAGATCAGCAGAAACGGAACAACTGGGCTTTATGAACCTCTGCCCCAACTCTCCACCTGGCCCGCAGGGGCCTAAGCAAACTGCCACTTATCAGTCATTGGTTCAATAAACAAACACCGGTGTCCCCGATACACCATGTACTATTCTGGAACTGCAGACAGGAATAAAAGGACCACCGTGGTGTTCATCCCCCGACTTCACAGTTTGTGGTGAAACCACCTAGACACAACGAATCAACCCATGAGAAGCACAAGCGGAGGGAGGAAAGGTGTGCAGAGGGTCAGGGAAGACTTCACGGGAGAGCTGGGATTTGGCAGGACCCCCAGCACCGAGCACAGTGCCCGGCGTTTGGTAGACAGACAGACAGGCGGGCCAGTGGCCTAGGAACACAAAGAATGACCGACAGGGAGAGGGTGGGGTAAGGGGGTTCCAGGCAGACAAAGACCATGGCAAGTTGAAAGTGGACAGGGTGGACCTTGAAAGCCCAGCTAAAGATTTTATTTGGGGAAATTGGGAAGTATGAGAGGAAATAAAATAATTTCAGGAAAGACATCGGCTGATCTAGGCTTGACATTTAAGATTATTTTGCTCAGAAAAATCCTAGAAGATCCAAAGGATTCTCTCTCTAAGAGGAGAATTGCAGGGACCTCCCTGGTGAGCCAGGGGTTAAAACTCCATACTTCTAATGCAGAGGGTGTGGGTTGGATCCCTGGTCAGGGAACTAAGATCCCATATGCTCTGCTTCATAGAAAAAAAAAATTTTTTTTAATTAAAAAATTAATTACTCCTTGGAAAGAAAGTTATGACCAACTTAGACAGCATATTAAAAAGCAGAGACATTACTTTGTCAACAAAGGTCCGTCTAGTCAAGGCTATGGTTTTTCCAGTACTCATGTATGGATGTGAGAGTTGGACTATAAAGAAAGCTAAGCACTCAAGAATTGATGGTTTTGAGTTGTGGTGTTGGAGAAGACTCATGAGAGTCCCTTGGACTGCAAGGAGATTCAACCTGTCCATCCTCAAGGAGATCCGTCCTAGGTGTTCATTGGAAGGACTCATGTTGAAGCTGAAACTCCAATACTTTGGCCACCTGATGGGAAGAGCTGACTCATTTGAAAAAGACCCTGATGCTGGGAAAGATTGAAGGCAGGAGGAGAAGGGGACAACAGAGGATGAGATGGTTGGATGGCATCACCAACTCGATGGACATGGGTTTGGGTGAACTCCAGGAGTTGATGATGGACAGGGAGGCCTGGTGTGCTGCAGTTCATGGGGTCGCAAAGAGTTGGATGCGACTGAGAAACTGAACTGAACTGAATTAAAAAAGGGAAAAAAGAAATAAAAATAATTTTTTTAAAAAAGGAGACTTTCAGTTTAGTAATAGGTGAAGGGAGAAAAGCTTTACTGAATAGAGTTCTCTTGGGTACCGTGAAATTCTAGCACATAGCTTGTAAGGCAGCGCCTGCTCTACAGATCCCTGCAGATGGCTGCTCCAACCCCTCCCCCTCCCCAGAATCACGATGAGTGGATCAGGCCAACGAGGGTCCACACCACTGGGCCCACACATCCCGCAGGTCACTGGCGTGAGTCCAAAGTAATGTGACCGAGGCTACATGCAGAACGGCCCTCAGCCCCGATGTCTGTGGCTCCAGGGGTGGAATGAAGATCAGGGAATTGTAAGGAGGCAGGCATCAGCCCTTAGGAGGAAGCACTTATTACAATTAGAGATGACTGATAATAGAACAGACCATGTCAGGCAGCCTGTAAGAGAATAAGCTTCCTGTCACTGGAGGTAATCAAGCAGAGGCCCAGAGATGTCCCGGAAGTCACTGCATTGAATGATTAGGACAGCTCACTGATAGAGCAGGGCACTGGAATCGTGTACTAACAGTCCCCTTGGACGCTTTACCTGATCACTCTAAGCCTCCATCCCTCATCCACAAAACAGGCTCATTGACAGTACGTGTCTCGTAGGTTTGCCATAAGGACTAAGTGAAATAACATGTAGGAAACCACAGAACTGTGAGCACACAGCAAACTCTCAATAACTGACAGCAGTTATTAGATTGAAGCATATGAATCGCACTAGGTTACAGGTCGAAAACAGCCTAAACACATCATCTATTGCATATGGTGCAAGTAATGCTTTTTACTGAGGGCCACTCAGGTTCCTTCTAACCTCCCTGATTCCTCACTGAAAGTTTCCATGCTCCCCACCTCTGCTGGATCCCCTGGGCCTGGGCCCAAGCTGAGAACTCTGCGGGGTCTTTCTAGAAACACACTGCACAGGAGGGACCGGTCCCTCCGAGCGGAGGCAGGTACCTCTCTGCCCAGGTCCTCGCGGATGACCTGGCGCACTTCCTTCATGCTGCTCTGCGGGGCCTGGCTGTGCAGCACCTTCAGCGTGCTGGTGTACTCTTCCGGCAGCAGGTAGTCCAGAGCCCCCAGGTGCTGGCCCACCTTGATGAACGTGCCCCGGTTGGCACAGCAGAGCTCGCAGAGGCGCCTGGCAGAGCGGAGGTGTACCTGCAGGGAGACAGCCGGGGCCAGAGAGACGTGAGTGCTCATTGCCCACTGGGCGCTCTTCTCTTCTCCTGCACGCTCTGCTTGGACACCCTGATTCACTCCCCCAGTGCACACGCACGTCTACATGTGCATACACACACACCCCATCATTCACCTCCAGTCTCCTGGTATACACACACACACACCCCCATCATTCACTTTCAGTCTCCTGCTATACACACACACACACACACACACACACACACACACACACACTCCATCATTCAGCTTCAGTCTCCTGGTATACACACACACACACACACACACCCCATCATTCACCTCCAATCTCCTGGTATACACAAGACCAACACCCACCATCATTCACCTTCAGTCTCCTGGTACACATGCACACATATACACACACACACCCCATCATTCACTTTCAGTCTCCTGGTACACACACACACACACACACACACACACACACACACACACACCCTCATTCACCTTCAGTCTTCTGGTACACACACACACATATACACACACATACACACCCCATCATTCACCTTCAGTCTCCTGGTAGCCAGACCAGTCAATCCCAGCCTCCAGCTGCAGCCAGCCTCCTGACATGGCCCAACGCTTCTGATTGCCTTTGCTTCAAAACTTACCTTGTCTGAGTCCCACTCCCACGGAAACAAGCATGTGTAAGGTTTTCAACCAGTTCTAACCCACTTATGATTCATTCAAGGATACGCTAAGTTCATGCATTTGCCACCCACCCCTCAGCCATACTAACGATACTGTCTGTTTGCTTGGAGGTCTACAATTTTCAAAGATGTTGAAGTCATTATTTTCTTAATCCTTCCAGCAATTTAGGGAGGCAAGTACAGGTATCTTTAAGGACAAGAAACTCAGATGTTTTGATTATAAAGAAAAAGCTAATAAATGTCAAAGGATGGTCTAGAAAGCACTTCAGTCCTAGGGCTTCTTAACTCAGCAGACTTTAGCAGGGATCTCCTGTTAACTGGAAGAAAACTTCACAGCGGGGCATTAGGCACATAGGGTGGGCGGCAGGGCAGTCGGAGCAAGACAGGCCAGCCTAACTCCCAGCCTGAGGCCCGCCCATCCCTCCAGAGTGGGAGGTGGCCCCCATCTGCCCCCAGGCGTCACCACCCCAGCTCAGCTGAGGATCTTGGGATTTTGACGGTCCCACCTTCCTGGAGCTATAGGTCCTGAGCAGGATGGAGCCAGGGCCACCCACAGAAGTCAAGGGAGGCCAGGGCTCTGTGGAACCTGGTACCCTCTTCCTCTCATAAGTCAACCAGGAGAGTGAATATTTATGATGGACTTATGCTCTCAAGTGCTACGAAGGATGCTGACATAATTAAGAGCATGTTGGAGGAATAGACCAGGTGAAGAGTTAAATAACAGTAGGCAACAAAGATGGAAGAAAAGTTCAAAGAGTCTACATGATTAGTTGCCAACAGAAAACTGCTACTTTAAGAATTAAAAAGAGGCTGATTCATGTCAATGTATGACAAAAACCACTACAATATAAAAAAAAAAAGAGTTTAGATTCTGAAAGCAGAGGCAGTTATTTTCTTCCTCATTTCAAGTATGTTATTTTTATATATAATATTTATCTGAAGAATATATGCTTAAACAAATTCTGATTATTACATAAAGAGGCATTAATGATTGAACTTAGCCCCTAGATGCTGAGTGCTGTATTAATAAATTTTTAGACTTAATCCAAAAAAAAAAAATTAAAAAGAGAATGCTGCAGCCCCAAATACCCTGGTCCCAGCAGCCAGGGAGCCCACCCACGTGCTCCCTCAATAGCAAAGTGATGCCCCGGACCCCAGGCACATGCAGGCTGTCCCTAGGCCCTGCCAATCCGCCCTTCCCTGCCATGCGCTGTGACACTGCACTGACCCTATGTCACTTCTCCTGTGTCAGAGGGTCGCTATTAGGCTTGGTCAACAGGGGGGCCTGGGCGGGGGACACAGGGCAAGACCACAAGCTGCACAAGAAGGCTCCCTTGCCGTCCCCACTGGGCTGCTTCCAGCTCATCAGCCAGTGGGACAGGGGCTTGGGGGGACCCCTTTGGTGGCTCTCGTGGACCAGCCCACCTTCACCAGCGAGTGGGCCCCTTCTGTGGACCCACTCAGGCCCACATGCTCCAGCAAGTGCTTGACCGCCCAGCAGGCAGCTCCAAACGCTAGTTCCAGGTATTCTTCTCCTACAAATCTCTCTGCCACCGGGCAGGCTGTGACCATGGCCTGTGCCTCCTTGTCTCCAGGGCAGCCTGGCACCCCAGATTTGGAGGCCCCTGGTCAAGTCTTCAGGTCTGTTCTTGTTCACCACCCCGAGCCTTAGAGGAAACAGGTGCTTTATGCATTTCCTACCTCTGTCGCCTTAGATTCTTCTTTTACTGCTTTTAGGAGTTAACTACCTTTTACTAATTAATACATTTTTACATTTAAATTACAAATTTGGGGACGTCTCTGGTGGCCCAGTGGCTGAGACTCCAAGATCCCCATGCAAGGGGCCTGGGTTTGATCCCTTGCCAGGGAACCAGATCCCATATACAGCAACTGAAAGATCCCGCATGCTGCAATTAAGACCCAGCGCAGCCAAATACATAATTAATTGGGACTTCCCTGGGTGGTCCAGTGAGCGGGATTCTGCCTTCCAATGCAGAGGGACACAGGTTCAGTCCCTGGCCATGGGTCTAGATCCCACATGCTGCGTAGTGCAGCCAGTGATTAAATAAATAAAAATTTTAAATAAATAAATATTTTTTAAATAAGATAAATCACAGGTATGACTAGTCCCTGGCTGATACAATTCCTGCGACTGAATTTGAATAGATTAGGACTAAAAAGGAGAGCATTTCAGGTCAAGAGCACAACACAACATGCATCTGTGTGTGTGTGTGTGTGTGTGTGTGTGTGTGTGTGTGTGTGTGAGACCTGCTCCACCATTTTCTTTAGACTAGATCCACATCTGCATTTCTCTCTGCCACTGGAAGAACTCAGGAAGCATCAACCTCATGCCAACAAGGCCTCCTAGCAGGAGGCAGAGCCAGGGCCCTGTTGCCTCCCTCCTGTGCCCTGAGCCAGTCCCAGGCAGGGTGTCTCCTGGCACAGAGCAAAGGTCACCTTCACACTGTCTGGGCAATGCAGGGAGCCCTCTCTGGCCACACAACCCAGGACGGCTGGTCTACCTCCAACTCGCTGGTTACCTGGCACGCCAGCCACTGGGACCAGAGGTCACGTGTGTCCCCTGTAGCCTCTGTGTACCTAGGGCAAGCCATGCCTGAGCCATAAATGCAGACTGATGACAACCATGGGTCATACACACACACAACCATCGTCCATGAAACTGAATCAGCATCTCCTGCAAAGGACACCCACATTTCAACCAGCGTCTTAAATAAACACACACACAGTCATATGGGGGTGAGGGACATTCCACTCACCAAAAATGTAAATGATCCTTGAAGGTCAAAAGATACAAATGCAGAATAACAGAGCAGGCATTCTGATCTCCAGGGTCCCTTTCCAGCTCCAGCTCCTACAGTTCCACTGTCCCTTAGGATCAGAAGGCAGGTCTCATTCAGAATTTCAAGAAACTGTTGGCTAAGTGCAAAGTCCCTCTTTGAGCATTCACCGCCTGCTTGCTGGTGACTTGGGACCGAGGACCACCCTTCTCCTGCTCACTGAGCATCTTTGCTTCTGGGATCTGTAGTAATAAATCTTGGGACTCTATTTCCTCCGTGCGGATGTGTGTAAACTGCACCTTCAATCAAAACACCCCAGTGAGTTTCACTTCCCCAGTGGGAGCGTGGATGCCAAGAGAGCTGTCTACAGACCCCGTGTGGGTGGCTTGTGCCCCCCACTCAGCAGGTCATAATCTGCACATTCTTAATTGACTACACCAGCTCTGGCTTCTCAACACACACTACTGCCCTGAACACTACACACCCATTTGCTCACTGGCCCCGAGGCCTGCTCTTACCCAGCACCTGGTTTCATGAGCTGGTTGGGTGTATGTCGCTGCAGCGTGTCCTCACTGCAGAGTGTCCTCACCGCAGAGTTCTCACACTCCCGGTTCCATTCCTGCCAAAACAGGGCAGGAACAGCGGGCACCATCTCTCTGCCCCTCCTCCAACTTCATTTTCACTCCCAGCTCAGTAACTTGCCTTATGATGATCTCACTACCAATAACCTTGTTGTAATGAGCTTTACTCTGCCTCGTATTAATTAAAATCATTGTCATTAGCCAGCTTGGGTTGGGATTTGGGGGGAGGGGGGAGTGGGCAGTATGAATAGCTAATAAGATCAACTCAGTACTGGTTAATTATTGATTGGGAGGGATGGAGCAAAGGCCCAAGGAGGGCAATCCTTTACTCATGCCTAAATCCCCAAGAGTAGGGAAGAAAGGTACCAAAGCCAGCCTGAATCAGTAGGGCTCCCCCATCAGAAGTGAGCAATTGACAGTACCTCCAATGGGGTTTCGGGTTTGAGTGTGAGACACAGATGAAAGAGACAGACCCACAAACAACCCCAGACATCACAGGAAGAGACAGCACAAGAGAAGGTCACAGAGACCCCAAAGCACACAAGCCCCTTGACAGATTCTTCCAGTCAAAGACTCAGCGCCCAAAGGTAACGCACTGACATGCAAACAGTGTTATCTCTGGGCAGTAAGATTACAAGAGTACTTTTCTTTATAGGTCTCTCTGTATTTCTCAAATTTCCTAAAACTAATATTTATCATTTCAATAACAGAGGAGAATTTTTTTTTAAATAATCTCTTCTTCAACATCTTCTGGAAATAGAAGTCCAGCCCCAAATTCTCTACCACACAGACTGGACCAGCTTGGTGCAGAATCCAGCACTATTTCCCCAATTTTGCAGGGTGCTATGATCCACATGTGTGTTTTTCATCATGAAAATGGAATTGCAACTCCCCCTTTATCCCCAAGAAATCAAGCCAGGACAGTCTCCAAAGTC